ACTGTAGTTCCCTTAACTCCTTGGCCAATGCATTGCAGAAGAGATGGAGGTGGTCCCTAAAACCTTGAGGGAAGGACTGTCCAGGTAAGCTGAGATGTGGCATCAGTGTCTGGATCAGCCCATTTAAAAGCAAAAATGTACTGAGAGTCTGGGTGTAAAGTTATGCAAAAGAAAGCATCCTTACCATGAACCAGTGAGCATCTTCAGAGACATGGGTAAATACTGCACAAGGATTGGGAACTGTTGGGTGGACTGGGACTGCTGTCTCATTAACTGCTCTCTGGTCCTCAACAAATTTATATTCCCCATTTGGTTTCTTTACAGGTAGAATGAGGCTGTTACATGGGGACTGGCACAGGATTGTAGGAATCCAAACTTTAGGAACTTCGTTAGTAGGGGCTGAATGTTCTTCTGAGACTTGGGTCTCGAAGGATATTGTGTCTTCCACATGTAATTAACACTGGGTTTTAAAATAACCTGGAATGGGGGTACATTAACAGCTCTAGCAGGAACTTCCATGACCCAAACAGAGGGGTCTACTTGAGAAGAAATATGTGGTGGTAAGAGCATCTCCTTATCCGTGTTGAGGTAAGCACTTAGAGCTAGAAGTGTCCATTCCCAGCCTGTTGCCTTCTTATGAGGCACTAGAAGTTGAACTGTGGCCTATAATTGGGAAAGTAATTCTCTCCCCAGTAGAGGCATAGGACACTCAGGCATAAGTAAAAACCTGTGGGAAAATGTATGGTCCTCCAGGGTGCAACCAAGGGAGTGGGTAAATCTCCTAATTTTTGGCTGGCCATCAATCCCCATTACTGTACAAGAGCAGGAAGACAGTGGCCCTGAGAAATGGGTTACAACTGAGTAGGCTGCTCGCATGTTCATTAAGAACCCAATATTTTTGCCTGCTGTGTCCAGGTTTACCCAAGACTCCTCTATGGAGATGTTAAGGTGTCCAGTAGGAGTCGTAGAGGACCACAGGCCCCATCAGTCCTCTGCTTTCTTGGTCATTATGGATCTGGGTGTCTCAGACTCCCCTTTAAGCCTGTGACAGTCCTTCTTCAAGTAGTCTTCTTGTTTACAAAAGGCACACTGGGCTGGGCACAGTGGCTCAAGCCTGTAATTCCAGCACTTTGGGAGGCTGAGGTGGGTGGATCATGAGGTCAGGAGATCAAGATCATCCTGGCTAACATGGTGAAATCCCAGTCTCTACTAAAAATACAAAAAATTAGCCTGGCGTGGTGGCGGGCGCCTGTAGTCCCAGCTAATCGGGAGGCTGAGGGAGGAGAATTGCTTGAACCCAGGAGGCAGAGGTTGCAGTGAGCCGAGACTGGGCCACTGTATTCCAGCCTGGGTGACAGAGCGAGACTCCATCTCAAAAAAAAAGCCGGGCACAGTGGCTCGCGCCTGTAATCCCAACACTCTGGGAGGCCGAGGCGGGCAGATCATGAGGTCTGGAGACCGAGACCATCCTGTCTAACATGGTGAAACCCCGTCTCTACTAAAAATACAAAAAAATTAGCCAGGCATGGTGGCAGGTGCCTGTAGTCCCAGCTACTTGGGAGGCTGAGGCACGACAATGGCATGAACCCCGGAGGTGGAGCTTGCAGTGAGCTGAGATCACGCCACTGCACTCCAGCCTGGGCGACAGGGCAGGACTCCGTCTCAAAAAAAAAAAAAAAAAAAAAAAAGGCACACTGATTTGATTTTGGCCTAGAGTCCAGAAAGCAGTGGGACTCTCATCTGAGCATCCCAGACACTGATCTTCCCACATTTTCCTGGGGTGGGTAACCTTGAAACAGCTGAGGGTCTAAAGCAGCCACTAACAATTGTGCTTTTTTGGCCAACTTTTTGGCTTTTGCCTCTTCGTCTGCCTTGTCCCTATTGTTGTAAACCCTAAAAGCAATGTTTAAGGGTTGGCTCACGGGGGTTTGAGGCCCCATTGCCACCTTTCGTAGCTTCCTCCTGATGTCGGGCAGATTGAGTGATAAAATGCACACACAGGAGAACCCACCCTTCTGGGGAGTCTGGGTCTGCATTAGCATATTTCCTGAGTGCCCCAAGCAAACGGTCCTGAAATAGAGCAGGATTTTCATCTTTGTCCTGAGTTATTTCTCTCACCTTGTCATAATTGACTGGCTTAAGCACACACTTTTTCATGTTAAACAAATTAGCCTATGATTTCTGCATTTAAGATCTTGAAACCTGTCTAGTAATCCAATTGAGAGCCTAGATCTGGAACTGCATCTCCTCCCACATGACATGGCATGGCCTGCGTCATGAGTGGCTACTCCATCTGCATGTTCACGGGCAGTAGCTAGAATTCTTTGTTTTTCCTCTACAGTACAACAAGTATGTAGTAATATCTGCATGTCATGCCAAGTTACATCAAAGAATACGGTCAACTTAATAAACTCCTCTACAAACTTCCCTGGATCCTCTAAAATACAACCAAATTTTTCCTTGCATAAAGCCAAATCAAACATGGAAAAAGGCACGTATCTTGTGGTTGCTCCTCCATGCCTGTCACAATGGACATACCTCTCACAATGGACACAGGTCCAATTTTGGCGGCCAATATGGGGCCCGACTCCTAGTAGTACCGGTTGGGTTTACTTCCTCTGGCAGTGGGGGATATGGGCCAGAGCCCGCTGGATAAAGGGGAGGGATGCCTGCTGACTTTGAGGTGGAATTCTGCACTAGAGAAGTGGTGGCGCCCCCACTCAGAACTAGGGGACTGGAGAGGCTTCAAAGTGGGGACACAGGCCTCATAGGGGAACAGCTAAGACAGGGTCATTTACAATACCTGGTGTGCTTCTGGGTGGCTGGGAGTATCATGAGCCAGACACATTCTACAGCTAGCCCTTAAGTTAGGATCCTGGTAGATGGCCAGAAACGCCTGCACGTAAGGAACTTCTTCCAGTTTTCCTTCCTTTTTACAAAACAAATTCTAATTGTACAATATCATTATAACAAAGAATCGTGAGGTCAGGTGCAGTGGCTCACACCTGTAATCCCAGCACTTTGGGAGGCCAAGGCAGCCAAATCACCTGAGGTCAGGAATTCGAGACCAGCCTGGCTAACATGGTGAAACTCCATCTCTACTAAAAATACAAAAAATTAATCGGTCATGGTAGCCTGCACCTGTAATCCCAGCTACGTGGGAAGCTGAGGCAGGAGAATTGCTTGAACCAGGAGGCAGAGGTTGTGGCAAGTCAAGATCTTGCCACTGCACTCCAGCCTCGGCAATGGAGTGAGACTCTATCTTAAAAAAAAAAAAAAAAAAAAAAAAGAATCCTGCCTAGGCCACATCTGTTGGTTTCCCAATTTGTATTGAACCCAAACATTGTTGCAACAGAAAATAAATTTTTTCTTTTTCAATTTATCTAATTTGAATTTACTCCAATTGCCTAAAAGACACCCTCACACTAAGTCCTTCAGGATGCTTGCTGCTGCCTCATGTCTAGTAAGGCTGTCTATGGGGGTTTTAGTGACCTAAGCTTAGTAAATGCCTAGTTATTTTTCCCTTTTAAATTCCCACTTTCTACAAAGAAGGTGTAAATATAGACAGCAAGGTGTAACAAAAATGGATTATAAGCTACAAATGGGCAGTAGAATGTTGGCCCAAATTCCACAGAGAGTTTAGACAGAAAGAGGCTAAACAAATGGTGACAGTGGGAGGGAGGAAGGGTGGGGGTAAGTAGCATTGCCCAAGGGGAGACCTCAGGGGCCCTGACTGCCAGAGAACCTACCTAGTAGCAGAGACCAAAAACAATGTTGAGGTGGCCACTTTTCTACTGCTGTTGGTGGCTGTCCGCCAGGTCAGGGGCCTGGGAACTCTCAGTTCCCTTCAACCAAGAGGGCTTCAGCAAGGCAGTTACGCCGTTACACGACAGCACACAGGAAGAGGTCTGCAAATGGCTATGAGGAAAATAATAACTTCTAACTTCAGAGCAGAAAAAGGCGAGACCAAGATTCCCCCAGGGGAGAATTAGCTTTTTCTACCTTACCTGAGGATTGAGGTCTCCAAGAGTAAAGATGACAGGTAATGCCTAAGGCTCAGGAAACCTGCTGGGTCCCTTTAGCTGTGAAGGAGGGTCTGTTATCACTGAGCAGACTTCTAGGTAACCCAAATCTTGCAATGATCTCTTTAAGTAAGAATTTGGACCCTTCTAATGCTTTTTTCTGTTCTTGTGGGGAAAACCTCATCCACTCAATGAAAGAGGGAATGTCAGGCCGGGCACGGTGGCTCAAGCCTGTAATCCCAGCACTTTGGGAGGCCGAGACGGGTGCATCACGAGGTCAGCAGATCGAGACCATCCTGGCTAACACGGTGAAACCCCGTCTCTACTAAAAAATACAAAAAACTAGCCGGGCGAGGTGGTGGGCGCCTGTAGTCCCAGCTACTCGGGAGGCTGAGGCAGGAGAATGGCGTAAACCCGGGAGGCGGAGCTTGCAGTGAGCTGAGATCCGGCCACTGCACTCCAGCCCCGGCGACAGAGCGAGACTCTGTCTAAAAAAAAAAGAGGGAATGTCAACACCGAAAACCCCAGAGCATTTTCAGCAATACCAATGCTGAAAAACCTGGAGTGCCTGAGTTTCAACCAACAAGGTCCCCTCACCAAATGCTGAAGACCCCAGGGCACCGGGGGGTGGCCAACAGCAAACCTCAGGCCAAGTTGGAGGTCACAGAACAACACAACAGGAGGCCTTGCACAGCCAAGTGTCCTGCCTTAAATCATTCCCCAAATATAGTCAACAGAAAATCAAAGTGAAAACTAAGACTGCCAACAAAACATACATCTTAGGACTCAAAATAAAGCAACTGGCGGAGCAATAAAATGGAGTCAGAAGGGAAACAATCAGGGAAAAGGGTGATAAGGACAAGGAAGTGCTTCAGGGTATCCAAATGATGAGAGACTTTTAACTGACCTCTTAGCCAAAGGCTTTTTAATTCCTTAGCTTACCTGATGTTATGGGGTGGAGGCAGGCAAGACACTCACCCATCCACAGCAGCCAAAATGGTAGGGACCAATCTTCCACGTGGCACCCAGGTGAAGGTCTCTTCAGGATCCCCCAGCTTGGGTGGGCTCAGCTGCCATGGTGGGAGGGTCCCACGTGAGGACTGATAACCCTCCAGCCTGCTGGTTCCCACATGAGGCAGCAGCAATATGGCCACTAGCCTGTCTGCTTGGCTCTACCACCTGCCAGAGAAAATGATGGCTCTAAAAGGAGCCTTTGGTTGGTGTTACAACTCTTGCAACCTCCATCACCGACTGCTTCTCTATTTCTTGCCATCTCTCCACTTGTCATCTTGCCAATCACTGTCACTTGCCATCTCTCACTGTCTCTCACTGTCTTGCCGACTGCCATCTCTCATTACCACCTTGTCAACTGCCATTTTTTTCTCTGTCTCTCATGCTGTCGTCTTCTCTCTTCCACCCCATGTTTGGTGCCATGTTGCTGCAAGGCAGGTGAACCTTAGGGCTTTGCCCAAGAAGATTCTTGGTTTTGCTCAGGAAAGAACTGAAGAGTGAACCGACGGTAGAAGAAAATAGCCTTTTTTTTTTTTTTAAGACAGAGTCTTGCTCTGTCACCCAGGCTGGAGTGCAATGGTGCGATCTTGGCTCACTGCAAGCTCCACCTCCTGGGTGCAAGCAATTCTCATGCCTCAGCCTGCTGAGTAGCTGGGATTACAGACACATGCCACCACGCCCGGCTAATTTTTGTATTTTTAGTGAACAGTTTCACCATGTTGGCCAGGCTGGTCTCAAACTCCTGACCTCAAGTGATTTGTCCACCTTGGCTTCCCAAAGTGGTGGGATTATAGGCGTGAGCCACTGCAGCCGGCCAAGAAAACAGCTTTATTGAGGAGGCAGTGTAGTGTTAGGGCTCTGTGACTGCTTCTGTAGAATAGGCCTACCCCATAGGCAGTGTGTAGACAGTAGCAGCTCAGGGCAGCTTGGCAGTCATATTTACGGCCACTTTTAATTGCATTCAAATTAGGGGTGGATTATGCAGAAATGTCTAGAACAAGGGTGGTAACTTCTGGGTTGTCGGGTCATTGCCATAGAAAGGGGTAGTGTCCAGTTGTTGCCAAGGCAATAGTAAACTGACATGGCACTGGTCGGCATGTCTTAAGGAGAGGTGCTTTTGTCTCTTGCTAGTGCTTTTGCCTTTCAGCTAGTCTCAATCTGGTCCGGGGTCCAAGTCCTGCCTCCTGCCTCATTGGCAGTGGTGTGCTGGTAATTATTTTACGACTGGCTAAGAAAGAAACTCTGATTTGTAAAAGTTGCCAATTTCTGTGGTGTAAATAACTTTTATCATTGCTGAACTCACACATGGCTGGTGGCAGCATAAATTGATACAACCACTTTATAAAACCGTGTGATGCTATCCACTAAAGGTGTAGATAAGATGTGCACATGCCAGGAGACAGGAACTGTACGCCAAGATGTACAGGATTTCTCGGCTTAACTGGACATCCTGAATCACCCCAGGCACGAATCCAATTCTGTTGGGAGAGTTACTGGCTATGCGTTCTTTTCCTACTTAAGTCACCTTAGTCTACTCCAAAAGATACACATTATTTGAAACCGAAAAGCTAGAATGGATAAATTACTATATATTCATGCAATGGAATAGTATACCACAATGGAAATGAACAAGCTGCTACTACACATAACAACATAGATAAACCTTATAGATTGAAAACAATATATAGGCTGAGTGCGATGGCTCACACTTGTAATTCCAACACTTTAGGAGGCCAAGGCAGGTGGATTGCTTGAGTCCAGGAGTTAAAGACCAGCCTGGACAACATGGTGAAACCCCATCCCTACAAACAATACAAAAATTAGCCAGGCATGGTGGCACATGCCTGTAGTCCCAGCTATTCAGGAGGCTGAGGTCAGAGGATTGCCTGACCCTGGGAAGCAGAGGTTGCAGTGAGCTAAGACTGTGCTACTGCACTCCAGCCTGGGTGGCAGAGTGAGACCTTGTCTCAAAAAGAAAAGAATATATACTGTGTAATTTTAATTATATGAAGTTCAAAAACAGGCAAAACTCCTCTGTGTGGTTAGAAGTTAAGCTAGTGGTCACCTTGGTGGGGGCAGAGGCCTGGGATTGGGAGGTAGCACAAGAGAAGCATCTTTGCTGGATGGTTATTATTATGAACTAAATGTTGTGTGCCCCCCAAACTCATGCATTGAGTCCCTAATCCCAAATGTGATGGGATTAGGAGATGGGGTCATTGGGAAGAAATTAGGTTTAGATGCGGTCATGAGGTTAAGGTCCTCATAATGGGATCAGTGTCCTCTAGACCAGGGCCTGGTGCGGTGGCTCATGCCTGTAATCCCAGCACTTTGGGAGGCCAGCATGGGCAGATCACGAGGTCAGGAGATCGAGACCATCCTGGCTAACATGGTGAAACCCTGTCTCTACTAAAAATACAAAAAAAAAAATGAGCCCGGTGTGGTGGCGGGCACCTGTAGTCCCAGCTACTCGGGAGGCTGAGGCAGGAGAATGGCGTGAACCTGGGAGGCGGAGCTTGCACTGAGCCAAGATCATGCCACTGAACTCCAGCCTGGGCAACAGAGCTAGAATCTGTCAAAAAAAAAAAAAAAAAAAGAAGAAGAAGAGACCAGAACTTGCTCATGCTCTCTCTACACTGTGAAGACACAGTGAGAAGGCAGTCATCTACCAGCCCGGAAGAGAGCCCTCACCAGAACCCAACTCCGCCAGCACCTTGATCTTGGACTTTCCAGCCTCCAGAATTGTGAGAAATAAATGTCTGTTGTTGAGGCCACCCAGTCTGTCGCATTTTGCTATAGCAGCCCCAGCAGACTGAGACAGTTATGTTTACACAGATGTGTTCAAGTTGTGATGACACATTAAGCTATATGCTTATGATTAATGAATTTTTCTGTGTGAATGATTTACTTCAATAAAAAGCTTATTAAACCCAATGCACTGCGTGCACACACAAAAACAAAGAAAATGAGTCATTATCAGAATAAATCAACTTTGCAACACCTCTAACTTGTAGGTAAATCTTACTGTGTTCAAAAATTAAACAGATTATACTGTGGCCAAACACACAGAAAATTTCACCAAGAGAAACTTAGGTTAATAATAAAACAATGTATTTATGTACTTAGGAGAAGCCATCCAAACATAAAGAATATTTCCTAAAGCCCCAAATATTCTTTGTAACCAACCAGCTTCAAATCCAATCATATCAAAGAAAGCCTCCAGCTCAAAACACAAAAAGAGTGCAGCACCTTCTCCAAAGAAGAAAAACACACATTTTAAGACAAAAATACTCACCATTAAACAGAAACCTCTGACTCATCTGTTCTTATCTTCTTTCCCATAAAGCCCTTTTATTTCCCCACTCTGACAGAAGTGTCCTTTTAGCTCACTGTGGGTAGGAAGTCTCATGGTCTTCTGTCTGCTCTGAGTGAATGAAGGGGATCCGTGGAATCAGTATTTCTCAGCTTAACTGGACATTCTGAATCACCCCAGGCACCAGTCCAATTCTGTTGGGAGAGTTACTGGCTATGCGTTCTTTTCCTACTTAAGTCACCTCTGTGTACTCCAAAAGAAGCGGAAAGTTCCTACCTCCAAGTTTTGGTTTTCCCACATTTTTTCATCTCTCTGGGCCATTGCCATTAGCTACTCCCACATTTTGCCTCTGTAACCGTTTCCTTGACTTCTGCATGGTAAAGTTAGGAGAAGCCACACAGCCTCCGACACACACGTATGCACACACATACACACACACACACTATTCTCTTATGGTCCCACTTTCCAAACACTCTGGATGTCAATCTTCCCTTTTTTGGATTCAGCCCGCCTTTATCGGCCACATCCAGTAAATAATACTATGTAAATTCACAAAGTGTCCACTAGAGGACACTACAATCCTATTTCTAATGCCAACGTGTTGCAGTATGGCGTCTGTAGACTCCCAAGGGAATCTTCCTCTTCCCTATCTAAGCTACCCATGTGTTCCTATCTAATTATTCCTTGTACCAGGCATCTAAGAAGGAAATAGGTGATATAAACAAGGAAGGAAGTAGCACCCCGACTCATGCCCTAATTCTCAAATCCTTGGTCCCAGGGCAGGATGCTCTCACGATCTAGGCATTCTTTCCCTGAAGATGGATGTGACTGATGGCAGATGGTCTATTAGTGACATTGATGTCACTGTGCTGGTTCCCCAGCAATGCTCCGGGGAAGCCAAGAGTTGAGTTGGGCCTCAGATCATCAACCAAACCTCAAGGATTTATCAACCGTGGCAGCCCCATCTCATGACTAGGCTGGAGCCTGTCTGGACCTGGTTCTTCTGGTCCCCACCATCTGTCCTTCTCCTCCCTCCCTACCCCACCACCCTTCACCCCAGGACCAGTGCTTATGGTTCTGTCTCCCCAAGGTCATCATATCAAAATTCACAACCAACCTCTCATTAGCCCACTTGGAGGAATGGGTGGCTCAATGCTATGAACAAAATTGCTTCATCTTAGAAAAACAAAAATGGGCAGCCCTTTGCAAAGAAAACATTTCTATGACCGAGGCTTACTGACTAATACAACATTACTTCTTCTTGTACATTTTAAAATAAAAACAAGCATATCTAAACATAATATTTTCTAATCACAGGAGGCAACAACAACAACAAAAGTAAGCATAAATACTTTCAAGGATGTGTCTGTAGCCTAGGACTAGTACGGAGAATGCTTTTTTTTTTTTCTTTTTGAGACTGAGTCTTGCTCTATCATCTAGGCTGGAGTGCAGTGGCACAATCTCGCTCGGCTCACTGCAACCTCGGCCTCCCGGGTTCAAGCAATTATCCTGCCTCAGCCTCCTGAGTAGCTGGGATTACAGGTGCATGCCACCACACCTAGCTAATTTTTGTATTTTTAGTAGAGACCAGGTTTCACCATATTGACCAGGCTGGTCTCGAACTCCTGACCTCAAGTGATGCACCTGCCTCTTGGCCTCCCAAAGTGCTGGGATTACAGGTGTGAGCCACTGTGCCCAGCTAAGAATGCATATTTTTAAGCCACACTGCCTAGATCAGATTCTAGATTTGCTATTTACTAGCCACATGAACTTGAGCCAGTTACTTAACTTCTGCACATCCATTTCCTGAGCTGTTAAAATGAAGAACATACAGTACGTACTTCATAGGATTGTTGTGAAGATTAGATGAGTGTGCATATATATATATACATATGTACCCATACACATATATGTGTGTGTATATATATAGTGCTTAGGCTGGGCATGGTGGACCATGCCTGTTATCGCAGCACTTTGAGAGGCTGAGGAAGAGGATTGCTTGAGCCCAGGAGTTTGCGACTAGCCTAGGCAACTTCAGCAGTCCCTATCTCTGCAAATAAAATTTTTAAAAATTAGCCAGGTGTAATAGAATGTACCGGTAGTCCCAGCTACTTGCAAGGCTGAGGCAGGAGAATCACTTGAGTCCAGGAGGTTAAGACTGCAGTGAGCCGTGATTGCCCCCACCAGACTCCAGCCTGGGGGACAGAGTGAGACTCTGTCTCAAAAAAAAGTGCATAGAATTGGCCTGGTACTAGCAAGTACCCAATTAATGTATGTTAGCTATTATTATTATTATTATTATTATTATTGTCCTTTACCAAATCTTGCAGATGAATTCTTCATACATAGGCTGACATCTGTTTTATTTTTCTTATGTTCCATGATAAGATCATCCTAAATAGAATGTTAAGAAAACATCTACATACACCAAGACTGGGTGACAATGATGGTGTTAGGAGGGTCTGGAGGGCACAGATCTGACACATCACCTAGTGATGACATTGGGTTATGTGCAGCTTAGTTATGCGTGAGTCTGTGTTGCTGATGGCGGTGTCTAGAGAACATTGGATGCAAATGACTGTGGGAGGGACACATTCTGGATGAAAATGGGCTCAGGGCTAAACTGGGGTCAAATAGTTTGGGGATAACACTGGATTGTGTGTGAAAGTATGTTGAGAAAGAATTTGAGCGAAATAGTGTTGCGGGTAAGACCAGGCCTGGATAAAATAAAGTTTTCGTGACAGTGGTGTTGGAGAGTGGGTGCTGGCCACCGTTTAACTATTGTCTCTTCAAGAAAAATAAGACACCGATTTGTAGCATTTCCAAATTCCAGGGTGTAAATAGTCCCATCATGGTGATGTCAAGTCCCCAACATGATGTCATGATGAGCATCCTAGGAAGGTTCAGAGAAAAAGGAGAAGAGAGTCCGGAATTGAGCCTCAGACATTTCCAGGCTTGGCAAGAAGAGAAGTCAGCAAAGGAGACAGAAGGTGCTGCCAGAGGAGAAGGAGGACAGTCGGTGGAAAAAAAAGCTTTTTGCTGTCCAAAAAGCTAGGGAAGAGGATTTCAGGTGGAGGAGGAAGTGTCAAGAAAGTTGAATGTTTCTGAGAGGTTGGTAGATTAGCTCACAGGGCAGTCCCGTAACACGAGGTCACCTGTAATCCTCCTGGATCAGACACTGTGCCAACCCAGGTGCACCAACAACCTTTGCATAACAGCATCTGTCATCCTGGTCACTCGACTGCCTTCTGTCCTTCTGGTAAGAACATCCCGCCCCTGCGGAAAACAGCCTGTCCTTCCTCCAAGCAGATGGCTCCGATCTCAACCATGGCACCTCGAGAAACTATGGGTGATCATGGCCAAGCTCAGCTAAGCAGAGCCGTTCTTCGGAATGTATAAGTGCAATACTATACCGAAACATGGAAACACTTCTCTCTTTTCCTCTGATACCATTAAACTGACATGACGTCAGACTGAAGTGGCCTTTGGCAATGGAAAAAACCTGTGTGAAGTAGAAGCCAAAATGAGAAAGGGGAACCTGGTGTGTTCCTCCATTCAGGTCTACTCTTGTTTTCTCCAGCTCTGAACCAATAAACAGCACTGGCATTTTGAACACTTTACAAGCATCAGCTCAGTAATCCCAACAACCTAGATGGGTATTACCTGGGTGCCCCATGTTAGAGATGAGATTTGCCCACGGCCGCAGAGTGCGAGAGCTGGGATTTCACCCTGGGTAGTTGGCTTCAGAGTCTACAGTCCATTAGGCCAGATGGTTCTTTGTTGTTGGGGAGTTTCCAGTGCACTGTAGGATAGCGAACAGCATCCCTGGCCTCTGCCCCCCTAGATGCTAGTAGCAGCCCCGTCTTCAGGTGTTACAACCAAAAATGCCTCCAGACACAGCCATGCATTCCAGGGTGGGTGGAGAGCCACTGCTACTGTTCTGCCGCCTTCTGGTTCTTTTTGAATTGCTGTCACTGAGTCACCTAGATGACTCCGTATTCGCCACAGCTCAGGCTCACCTAATCTGTGTGTCAACTACAAATAACCCCATGTCCCTCAAACCCTGAGGTATCCCAAATGCATTGCCACCTGGACCTTGTGTTATCTAAAACCCCACGCCAGCTACAAATCGGTGTCCCCAAGACTTTCTGTCAACCACAGTTCGGTCATTGAGACTTGTGTGACCCATTACCCAGTGGTGTCCCTGCCTTCTGCCAACAACCACAGCTTCCCAGAGTCAGGGTCACAGAGCTGTTCACAGGACAGAAGGCATACATGGAGAGAGGGACAGAAGGAAACACAGGTGCACATATTCAAAGGCAGGGAGAGCCAGAGAAACTCACAAAAGCAGAAATACACAGAGAACAGGCCACAGCTGGTTACACAGAATAGGTCACTGGCACCTACCAAGGCCCCTGGCAGAGCCCAGTGTCTTTAGCCCCTCCCCCACCTCTGGATTAGCCCTGGGGGCAGGCAGGAAAGCTAGGTTCTGCGGGTAAGGAGCTTAGACCCAACGTGACAGCTAATCACCCACATAAAGCCTCTGTCTAGGTCACAAAGCCCTGAGTGGCCTTGCCCCCACCACACCGTAGTCACCCCTCCCTCCACGGACTCAGGTAATGATGCCCCGCCCTCAGTGTCTCACCAAGCCCACACCCAGACGGGCAGAGGAAAGAGTTCAGACTGTCTCCACTCCCTCTTGCTCTCCGGCCACAGTGCATGCGGAGGGTGTTGACAGGGGCTAGGGGCCCAGGACAGAGAGCTTGGGCTTCCCAATAGATCAGCCCAGGAAGGATCTGGCCGAGACCAGAGAAACGCTTTTTCCTGAATCAGGAGACCTGCTAGGAGCAACGGCCCCTTCCCTCTGGACACTGTGATCTGCAGCGCCCCGAGGGTTGCCAGGATGAGAGAGTCAACCTATGTTTTAGGGCAATAAAAGGCTGTGAAGGAGCCCCACGCCTCTCCCAAGCTGGCCTGGCATGGTTGCCATGGGGATGCCCCAGTTGCTCCAGAGGTGGCTTCTGGTCCCGGAAGCGAGGATGGCAGAGACAGTCAATCCTCGCACCAAGGCGGGTAGGGGTGAAAGGTCAGTGCTGTCTGGGAACATTCCCGACCATAGCTAGGGGCTGACAGCCCAGGGTTCTCCCCCATGCCTGCTTCTCCCAGCTCACACCCCTGTCTCCACCACTCCCTTCCCCTCCAGCTCCCACTTCCTCTGCTGCTCCCTCTAAAGGAATGGTCTCAGAGTCTCACTCTGCTGCTAGTTAAGTGGTTCAAACGTGGGGTTCTGTTGTCAGGGCTGACCAGCAGGTCAAATATGTAGACTCAGGTGAAGAGTTCACAAATGTTGCCTCAAGTAAGGGCTCAGGGAGGTTCCAGGGAGGAAAATGGGTATGAAGACCCAGTATTAAGGTTCTGGAAAAAAAATTAGGCAAGACAGCAGTATAAGGGTTCAGGTTTGGGGCACACATGTCCTCAACACTGTACGGGGCTTCAGAGGACTCAGGGG